CCAAATGGATCCCCTTATTCGCCACTAACCACACCCTAAACCTTACACCGTATATTCCCCACTAACCACAAGTAAGTCTAAGCCAGGGGCACAAGAGGCGCCGAGCAGCAAAGACCTGCAAGAGTTCGCAAGTCTGGTAGTCCCAAGGCGTTTAGGGTTTAGGGTGGTGGGATATAGGGGCATATATATATATATATACATATAGATATACATGTTTTCATATATATATATATAACTAAGAGCCCCCATAAATCAAGCCAGCAGTGGGTGGAGGACTGCCATCCCTTCCCCTTCGTATTGATGCTGTGTCAGGTCCATGCCTAGCAGGGCCACCATCTGCGCAGCAGTGGCCTTCCAAACGCAAGCCCAAGAATTCTTGCGTTGAACGATTTTGCTGGACTGATACTACAGCTCCAATACGCTGAGCTTTGCACCAATCCCGTTGCGCAACTACTATCCCGGCCGACGCTGCACCAAACACAGCCCTGCATTCAGCCACAGCTGACACCTCGTCTGTCTGGGCGTTTGTCTCCTGTCATGTGCTTGACTTGCCTTGGCACAGTTGCCCAGTTAGTCAACGCATGTTCCCTGTCTGTTCCCTGTTTGCTAATGAATAACAAGCGCAAGCGGTAAGTTGTCCTAGCTGCCAAACAGCTTCAGTTCAACAGCCAAACGCATGTGCGTCCTCGAAGACGCACTCACACGCGGCTTTGGCCACGTCGCACAACGTGCCAGCTAAAGGCCTTCCATGCCGTAGCAAAAGCAGGTAGTGATGAATTACCGCCTCCATTGTGGGATCCAATCTGCCTCTGCGCCTCTGCTGCTCCGCTCCTGCAACGGCTGCAAGTCTGAAACATTGGCAGGCACGACAGATTCAGGATGAAGATCGCCCCAGCTCCTGTGCTCTTCACAGATGGCCACCACCACATTGTGGGCCGCCTCGCAACTCACGACGCCAAGTACACATGCTGCTCCACTTAGTGGCTTAAATGACTGATCGCAAAAATGGACCAATCACAACAAACCTACACAAATAACCCCTATATAATCCCAGTTTCCATTTCATTCTCCATTTTCTTTTCCATTTGATTCTCCATTATAGGGCCCTAAACCCTATAGTATTGGGTACAAAATCACAACAAACCTTCGCTGCCCTGGCAGCCTCCAGTGCTACAAAGGTGGCGGGGCCCCCGAAGTCGGCGCTTCGCACGATTCGCAGCAGTGGCTCCTGATCCCATGCACTGAACGTTTTTGGCTCCGTTTGTGGTTTCTGGAGATTGATGACCACTCATTTGCTCGTACCCCAGCAAAGCACTACAGTTCTGCATTGGAGGTCCATTCTCCATTGCCCCTTGCCTAAATCCAAGAAGCTGAAACTTGCTCCTACAGCACTCCACCCTGAACCAAAGCGTGATCTCCTGAATGTGCATACTCCTACATTTTGAGCACTCCACACACCTGTTGGGACGTCAGATGCTACCCTGATCCCCGCAAACTAAAACAAAACCTCAAAGTGTAACCTCTCAATGGCGTGACTCCGCACGAGCCCAAAGCGAGGAATCCCGTTTGGGAGTATGTGCCACATTTTACGTGTGATCCAGATTGGTAACTTATCAGGTTTGAAGACATGTATAACAATCCTGCGAAGGGCCATGAAGAAATGCCTGTAGCGTGAATCATGCCCTCGCAAGATGATGTTTCTGAGGAGGCCCATCCACCATCACCAAAGCCAAACAAAACGCATACTCCAAGCCAAAGCTCCAACAATAACCTGGAATCCCAACAAACCCAGCAAACTACCTCATGTACCCTAAATCCTATAGTCCCCCTGAAGTCGATAGAAAATGTGATATATGGGGATCTTATCATAATATACCCAAAGCCATATTCTATCTACTTAAGGGGGACTATAAACCCTAAACCCCGAAACTTCAGCGCCCCCAAGCTCCAGGAGTTCAGACGCACCGCCGCCACCCAGGCGCCATGCACACAGCTGCCGCAGAGGGGAGGCCTCCTGGGTCGGCTCTGGGGTTTGTGTGAGCTGTAGCCTGAACTCCTTAAAGGGGGATATCTACGGGATGATGCTAGGGGACTATTATAGGGCTTATTAACGGGGATACTAGGAACTTAAATTATAGCTCATGTAGGGATTTTGTGGGGAATCTGCAGGGATTCTGTTGGGGATTATATGGGGATTATGCGAGGGTGAGTCGGGATATTACACCCATAATGAAGAAAATGACATGGAAATACTATGGGGAAGGGTTAGGGTTTAGGTTGGGTACTGCCCCCCCCCCCCACTAACAGTTGGATAATAATTATAATATGGTTATATATAGCCCTTAATAGGACCCCTAATATAAACTGTTACTGCGGGGGGGCAGTACCCAAGGCTTAGGATAGGGGATTGGTTCAGAGCTTGGAGCTTTGGGCTACTTAGAGGTTGGGGTTCTATGGGATAATGTATCATTTCATGGTCGAATCATAAGGCGATATTTTGGGGACCCCCCACCCAGTCAGAGTGACTATAAGGGATAATTAGGATTATATTAAGGTCCTCTTATATTCCTATTATACCACTATTACCCAGTGGGGGGTCCTCATAAAAGATATTGAATGTTTAGAGTGCCGACTACGCCATGTTGAGAGCCATAACAGAGACGTTACAATTACTTACTGGGGGTTAGTAGGGAAAAAGGAAAAATGTTGGAGCTATATATGGATAATGGAAAGAATAAAATGGAAACTACTATTGTATTGTAGGGTATATATTGGGGGGCATCGTAGGGAACAGGGAAATAGATTATACAGGGATTATGTAGGGCCTATACCCATGGACCAGTAAGATTAAGGAGTACATACTAGCCCCAGTTGATGAATCTCATGAGGTAAAGAAAAAAACGTCCAGCGGCCCACTGAACAATATCCTAATAGCCTTTTTGCCCTAAACCCTAAACCCTAAACCCAAAGTCTCATGGTCATAGGTCATGACGCGACTGTCATCAATGAGGTCCTGCGTGTTGCTGTTTTGTGTGTGTGCATGCCACTACTGCCAGACACAAACTGGCATTGCCACATTGGTTCCAATACGCCCAAACTGGCTAGAGCTCTTGACTTCTGCTCCGAACTTTTACATGTAAGGATCAAACTTTCAAACAGTTCGAGCCTGCTGGGCTTCAAGTAGCGTGGGTTACGGCCAAGACTTTCAGGGTAGCGTGCCTAGTTTTATGTCCCAGTTCCAAATTAGTTTGCACTTGTTCGATGTAAACGAGGACCCGACGCAGATTACTCTACTTTTCATCGACAAGACGCAGCTGGTCCTAAATCCGAAGTAAATTCAGAACGCAAGCTCGACCCCACAACTGCCTGCAATTTGGGCCATCATGCCGGTAGTCTCCTATTGTCAGAGTCATTGTTATGAAGTAGTTTCCCAAAATAAGGGGACCCCAATATAGACCCCAAAATATTATAGTCCTTATTATTGGTACCTCTAAAATGGTAACCCTAATTTTGGGAAACTCCCCTGATTGCTCTCAAGCACCCAGAACGCTTCGGGCCTCTGAGCCCCAGGACCGATTCTGGCCCCAGCGACGATTTGCTCGGAGGGCAGTCGTCACCCGTTGGGCCTTTTGACATGAGCTATAGTCTAAACTCCTAGTATCCCCATTAACAACCCCCATAGTACTCCCCAATATAATCCCCTATATAACCCCCTTTTAAGGAGTTTAGACTATAGTACACATGGTTTGGACTTTTGGAGGTTTCAGGGTCCCAGTCTAGGGCTCTGGGCTCTGAGGATGAAACCCTGAAGTGAGGTACCTTGAAACAAACTATGAACAGTCTGTGTAGGTATTTCTGAGATGTGATGCCGTCTGCGAGTAACAGAAAAATCTTGCACCTGCAAGTTGGGGTGCCCAAAAATCAATTCTCAGATTACAGGACGTAATGGAGGTGAATTGTCCTAAGAAAAGGAATGGCATCGCAGAACAGTTGCAGCTGGTTATGTCAAATATCTAGGCTTTTGAGCTCTCAGGGAATAGCAGAGGACCCTCGAATGAGGATGGGCTAACAGGATTCAAGGCAAAAGATTCTCGCAGGTCTTCCTTAACGATGGACTTTAACGATCAGAGGCCTCCGTTCCGCAATAGAAAGAGGTTAGGTTTATGATCTCCGCGTAGGTTACCGTACATCTTGGATAAAATGAAGGCACATTGCCTATCCGCTTTGCAAACTTACTTGGTCAAGAAAAAGACGCAACCGGCCTCACTGCGACAAACGGCATCCAGGTCAGAAGCCATGTGAGAAACAGCAGCTTGAACAAGGACTTACAGCACCTACTGGCTCTGGCTAGGTGGGATCCTGCTTCTGGCAAGCTAAGAGAAGGAGGCAACATACTGAAAGCAAGTTGCACAAGACCCAGTCACCAGGGCTATCGGAGTTGCGCTTTACCGGAAATCTCGACTGCAGGTGGGGAATTTGGCTCACTGGGGTGGTGGGGGTGTAGGAACAACATTGGGAAAGCTACTCTGGCTATGGTGGACTTCTGGCTTTGCGTCTGGTCTGCGTCTAGTGTTGGCACAAGCTCATTCAAGCTGCAAGCCAGCTAAGCGCAGAACGACATAGCAACACGGCTTCTATCAGGCATGCATCTTGGCCAACACACGGCAGGGACTCCCAAATGACAGCTGGCATATAGCTGCACCTCATGACATGGCATCTTCACCGCGTTCATTCACCAGGCAAGGACAGTCTGCAAAGAGCGCGGCCCATCAAAGTATTTTCTGGGCAGAATAGCTTTGCTCAGGATACTTGTAGCCGAGGTCATCGCCATTTTTGGCACCGCCGACACTTTCACACGTCCTCGTGAACCTGCTTCCCTCGCATGTCGTGCTGCTCGTACGATGCGAGGCAGCCCCACCATCTGGGACGAGACACGCATGCAGCTCAGCCGGGCGGAGCCGCATAAGCTCTTAGCGCGGCCTAATGGATGTCAGCGAGCATTAGCTCAGCATGGCTGGCGGCAAGAAAGACTCGAGAGAGACCTGCAGAGGTCAAAAACAAACCCTTAGAGAAGAAGTCATGGTCGTGGCAGCAATTAACCTTTGAGGCTTTTGTGACCTAATTCTCAGGCTGACGGCCCTGACCCAACTGCGCCAAAATGTTTGCCTAGCAGAGATGTCGCATCGCATTTTTCGACTTGCTCGCTGTGCTAGAAACCATCGGAAACGACCTCAACACCTTCAATGCATGAACCTGAACCACTGAAAATGGGCTTTGCGGCATGCTGTATCGCAGTTGTGTTGGGATCGTCAAGGATGACAAGCTGTAAGACGCAGATTTTTGCGACACCCGTGCCTGGCCAGCTTGGACGCGCGCTGCTGCATCGATGTGGAGGTCCGCTGAGCGGAACAGAGGAACATCTGGCACCTCCCAGCCCACAACTTGCTGGTTTAGGGTGTAAGGTTTTGGGATGAACATGGAAACTATTATATCCTTAGGGAATTTCAAGGGGCTACTACAGCGATCCATTCCTCCATCTGCCACTAACGACCGGGAAGACCATGTAGACACGCAGAGACACCTCAACCTCACATAGAACTCCATCATCCTTTTATGACCTAGAATCTAAACTCCTAGTATCTCCCTTAATAATCCCTGTAATACTCTGCTGTAGAATGCAGTATATAGCCCCCTTGATTAGGTTGGACTATAGCTTTTCTGGTCACATCATGAACCCTGGTAAGTGCCAATGCAGAGGGACATCCGGAAAGTCTGGGACGAGCACTTGACATGACAATTACACACACACACACACACTCTGACGAGGCAAGTGCTGATACGGAAGAACTCTCGACCGGACTTGATTTTTATATATGCGCTCCAAGCACGATGTCCTAAGTCCTGTTTTTGAGCTAACGATGCTGACGTCTGTTGCGC